TCATTTATATAAGTAGGTACAGCTAAATCACCCTGGAAACTTTGGTGTTTATTAAATTAAATTTTCACCTAATAATAACATTTGTAAATATCAAACAATGAAGAACCTTAATTTGAAAAAAAAAGGTATATCATTCATTGATATTTACCAATGTTAAATATTATTTAATGTTTTACAAATGTAAAAGTAAAGTCGATCTGAAAACGTCTAATTAGTAAGAATAGCAAAACAAGTGTTTTCAAAAGGAAAAAAACGCCGGCGCTATACGGCGGCGGATTGACAAAAGACTATTTATTAGCGAACTTTTTCTATGCATGAACGGTTTCGAACAGTTTCAAGCAAAAATAAACCTTATACCATAACACAAGAGCACATGGTACTTCGCATTGTTTTTTTAACAGGAGACTTGTTTTCCAGAAATTTATTTACAACTTGAGTTTGTGAGCGATCGCAATGAGTGCTATTATTTGTTACTTATTAGACAATTTTTCCATAACATGATTTAAAACCCACAAAGTAAAAATAGTAGGTACCATGTACACGTTAAAAAAGGTTGTCAACCCCTAAAAATTTAAAATTTTCAAAATATCCAGAAACGAAGCTGCATGCATGAACTACTCGCAAAATAATGAATATTTTGTTCTGGATAAATTTTCCAAAAAAGCAATTTGAGTGAGTTATAACGATTTTTAAAAAGACACGACTTGCGTGTCATACGCCACACACAAAAGTAATCGATGGCACGCCTGGCGTGTCACCCGCACTGAACCGGTTAAATAAAGTATATTCCCTTCATATTCTCCATACCTCTATGCTCCATGCCTTTTTAAATTAATATTATGAATCCAGAATCTTCTTTTTCTTCGAAGTCTATTTTCTTCTTCTAGCAATAAGCAGGCTATTTCTATATTTCTTTCCATGATGATTTCGAGCGATCAATTTCACTGTACCGTTTCACACCAGTGGTTGGAAAAGACTACAAAATTTGTTGGCAATACAATAGATTTGCTTACGGCGTGGACGATGCGTACGGGCAAATGTGCGAGGCCATCAGTAAAATTCGGCGCGTACGGCGAGTGCGGCGCGGACAAATGTGAGTTCAGCTCAAATGTTCTATAAACTATTACAGGCCTATTTGCCTACATGGCCTACTAGCCTGCTGCCTATATTTGTAAGAGATCCACATATTCATGTGACTCATCAGGCCCTATACCTAACTAGAGACTTATTTTTCTTGATTCTGAGGTGACTTCATCTGTACTGATTCTATGTAGTTCCGGCTCTTCGTGAAACTGATATGTAATGGCTGACTTGGGAACTAGTGTGTGTGCGCAAGCACAGTTACCTTTTTGTGCACAGTTACACCATTGATTTCATCACAAATGACAATTTTATTTAGCTTAATTTTTTCTTTACTTGTTATAAGCCATTGCGTGACTACAATCTTACCTGGTGGTAAGTGGTAATTAAGCCCTAGAAGACGCCCAGATTGTATTCGGATGGAAACACAGACGCCGGCAAATTATTCAACTCTTTTGCTGTACCCATAACAAAAGACGACGCAGACTGTTTGGTTCTAATGCGTGGAATATCGACAACAAAGGGGTGAAGACCGCCGACCGCCTGGGTGACCGATGGTGGAATTGCAGCATGTAATTCCTGCGCACACTCCGAAATGCAACCTATGGAATACCGAGAAGGCGACTACTCTGCACCTGTGCTCGAGGCTGGCAAGATTGGTTTCAACCAAATCAGGGTTATCAACGATTCTCTTAGCACATCTCTCCACTTAGTCCAACGCTGCTAGGTGGCATTTTGCAGCACCAGGCCATATGTGAGCCCAGCAGTACTCCATGCCCGACCGGTCTTGTACTTTATATAAAGTAAGAAGCTTCCCCGGCGTGAACTACCGTCCCTTGCAAGGACATGTAATTTCCTTGTGGCTGCTTTGGCTCTGGACTGAAGGAACCGCCTATATTTGAGGTTCGGAGAAATCTCAACCCCTAACAACTGAAGGCGGTCAGTGTACTCAAAGATACATTCAGATATTGACGGCTCCGTGGCGCAGTTACTTAGCAATGAGTTGCTGCGCTGTAGGCTGCGGGTTCGAATCCTGCACGGAACAATATTTGTATGGCCTACAAATAATTGTTCCGGGTCTGGATGTTTGTCCTTGTGCAATTTGTGTTTGTAAACTGCCTCCACGAAACAGGAGAAAATCCTAGTGTGGGGGTAACGTTTTAAAAAAAAAAGATACATTTCGGAAAGTAGAGGCCAGGGTGGGCGGGCTCCTTTTAGTGGTGAAAAGACAAGGAGGCGTTGAATCTCACGAGATTGGTATCGCCCCATTCGAAGACTGCCTGCAGTGAGAGATTCGAACGCTCAATCATAGCTTCTCTTTCGGACTGGATTTGATCCCGACTGGCCCGAGCTTTCGGCTGATACCTCCACAACTGTAATTCCGTGTACATACCCATAGATACCGGGAAGAGGCAGATAATTAATATGCAGCAGGAATAGAGTTGCGGAGAGAAGGGAATTCCGGCGTTTGTCGTGATAGGATTCATCCATCGAGGAAGCAGCCATCGACGACGACTACGTGAGATCGTTTACTCAGAAAGTTCTTTGCCCAGAAGGCTAACGTGCCAAACTCTGCCAAAGGTCATCGAGACATTAAGGGAAACAGCAAGTGCTTCCTAACACTGTTCTCGAGGGCTTCGCCCTATATGTGAGTGACATACATTAGAAGGTCCCCAGTTGATCGATTTCGGCGAAACCCGTATTGAGAGAGATGATAATTCTGCTCTAGGTATGCCATGAGGTGGGTGGTATGGGTGAACTGTACCACCAACGAGCAAGTCAGCAAAGGGGATGAAATACTTCATCGCTTGACTTATCACAACGGTAATGACATCCGCCAACTTCATGGACTCTGGGCAGCGATCTAGAATTTCTTGACAGAAAAATCCAATTACAGATGTTGGTCTAGCTCGGGACCACATGATAAGCAGTCGCGCTGACGACTATTTAAGCTACTTTAAGCTTCGTCATACGGCCAGCTTGTCAGTGTACCTTGTGTCATTCAAAACGTAACTATTCAAAGTGGAACGAGTTTTTACGAGCCTGAGTAGTTATGGCATTTGATGATATTTTTTGAATTCGAGATTGCGGCCGCGCCGTGTCTTTAGATATAGATGTCGTGTAATTGGTTTAGGTGTTAACACTGTCACTGTCAGGTTTGCAGACACAATAGTAATGACCTATATGTGGTTCACGGGACAGTGAACGTGTTAAGTATTAATTCGATGTTATTTTCGAAATTCTATATTATGGTGGCCACACTCTATTTAAAATTTTAGTGATTGATGCCGTGTAAGGAATTTAAAGGGGGATAAGGATTGAATTTGATGTTATTTTTGGAATTCAAGATGGCGGCCGTAGCCTATTATATATTTTAGTCATGGACGTTGAACGGCTTTTTTCAGTGTGTTAAGTGTTAGTTACAAGTACACTTAATTCATATAATAGTTTTAGTGTTCCTATAGTAGTATTCTTACCCTACCTTAGGGCTCAAACCCTGGTGACCATCTACTACCAAAGTACTCGTCGAAACAAAACCAACGCGCCCGCGTGTTACGCTTACTGCGTGTAGGAATATTTCTTATCGCTATCTTATGACTCCATAATTAAACCCTAGTCACCATCAACAAAAAACTCATCGAGACAATTCTAACAAGCCCAAAATCGATATGCTTATTGCGTGTAGTCTTAAGACTTCCCATGGCCAGCTCTCGGATTTATCATTAAAACAGCACAGTGGTACTTTTACTTTGTATTGGCATCAGAACACACTTGTATGCTGAATTTTAATTAATGTTGTAAGAGAATTTATATTCAAATACTAGTTTTGAACTAGAGAGATATAGTTACTACCTAATTATATTATACTAGCTGTTCCCGGCGTGTTTTTTGGGGGTTTTAATTTTTTTGCGCGGAACCCTAATTATTTTAATGAAATAAAAGTAGCCTAAATTACTCCTTGTGACATCAGCTATCTACCAGTGAAAATCCTGTCAAAATCGGTCCAGCAGTTTCGGAGATTAGCCGGAACAAACAGATAGACAGACGGACAGACAGACAGACAAAAACTTTAAAAATTGTATTTTTGTTATTAGTACCGTATAAATTACAGCGTTTTACTAAATGCATATGAAAATATGCATTTAGTAAAACGCTGTAATTTTGACACTACAAACAGACACTTCAATTTTATTTATTTGTATAGATACATAAGAATTTATAGAATACTTTCCAATTTAATTAAGTAATTTTAACTAAAAAAGCTTACCCTTCCCCTAACTATACTTACAATATCTTTGAATGTGTTATCTACATTGATTTAGAACACTAGCGGAGATCGCCTAGTTTAAAACTGCACATCCCTTCCTTGAATTTTTGGTAGATTTTATTACATATCAAATATTAGGTATAGCCAAAATGCTAGTCTATGGTAGAGGCGCGCAGATTTAGATTTAATGATACCTAATATGGTAATTCAGACCAACGAAGAAAGATAGACGTAACACTTCGTTCATAATTGTCTTTTGTAACACACCCTCCGACGACGTATATATTGCCGCCGACTTAATCGTCGGCGTATAATAGGCATTTGGCGACTAACTCACCTATTACCCACATAATATAGAGTTTGTACAGCCTCGGAGAAGTCACACAACCCTGTCTGTCTGACACCTTTATGGATGCTAAACTAGTCCATGTAGGCCCTTGTTGATCCTGACACAAGCACAAATTCTTATAAATGTTAATGACTGCATCACCCAGTGATCGCTCCAAACGTGACCAGCACCTGCCACAAAGCAACCCTGTGCACTTATTTATAGGCTTTTAAACTATTATAAGCCAGTGCTTGAGTACTAAGTAACCCACTTGATGGTAAATGTGATGGAGCCGATGATTAGTAAAGCACACTGACTTAGTTTAACAAAAGTTTATTTAGTCATTTTAATGTGATGGAAACATAGATGCTTGCAAATTATCTATTCCCAGTCTAAAAATGCACAGAAAACTTTTTGATTTTGGCCAAAAACTTCCATGATAATGCGTTTTATTCATAACCCTTTCATACAAAACCTTTAGAGTTTTCCGAGAACGTTAAGCAGGCATTTTCTACGATGGTTTTTACAGTCCTGACGTTTGTGTTTTGCACCAAAAAAGCATAAATTAAAGAATGTGTACAGCAAGCTTGCCACTATTCCATCCAGAGCCTTCGGCACTTAATGACACTATCACGCCAAGCTTCGTTATCTGTTTTCATTATTTCATCCTCACTTATCTAGCTACCTACCTATTTATTCTTATTCGGTTTCTTTCGTGGTTTTTGGTTTATGTACTTCTCATATCTATGAGATTTCTCCTCATATTTAAACACACTTTCAAAGTTGTTTCCATATTCCATTCTCGTCTCACACAGCATTCAATCTAGGCTGTTCTACCTTTCCCCTAGCAATTCTGACGAGTTTCCAAAATATTTTCATGAAAATTATTAGATAGTCGTTTATCACTCTATTCTGTCCTTTTTTGCTTTTTTCTTTCTACTCTTTTAACTTTATTACATAGACGTACAAAAATTTTCTAAGCTTATATGTATATTAACTTTTTAATTAGTTCCTTAATATTTATATATTTGCAATGCAAACATCAAATAATAACTGATAACTAATTATATGGGTGTTTCTTGATATCTGATCAGTAGAGCAATCAATTAGCCCAATAGGCTGTTTTTCTTGTTTGACCTATATTTTCAGTTCATAGCTGAAGATCCTTTCCCATAGCAATATAGATTTGTCTAAATCGTCACTTTTGGCAGGAGGATTGACTATCGAAGTACCACTTGTTTTGTTAAATTTAAGTTATTTTGTATAAATTTAGGTTATTTATGTATCAATCAGATGAATGAAAAACACCCAATCATTTGAGATTTTAATTTACTTTTAAATCAAACAAATAATATTTTTAAGGCACACAAGAAGCAGAAGTTCCATCAGAAAATAAAGAAATGGAGGCAGACTCAAAAGTTCAAACAAGCAATGATCAACCAATACCAGAAGGTTTCTTTGATGATCCTATTCTAGACGCCAAAGTGAGTATTTTTAGCAATACATTCTGCTGATTAAAATTAAAATACCGTCCTCCATATATTTCTCTCATAATATTAATTTAGTGTCATATTTCAACTGAAATTAATCTTGTGACAATTTTATAAAATTTGCATTAAAGTGAAACAAATTTTTACACAATTGATCAGAGAAATTTAACACAATCAAACTATTTTCACTATTTTTAAACCATAGAGCAGTATTGCTTATAATAAAACTTAGTTACCTACCGATATTGCATTTAAAACATCAACTATGTTAGTCTCTTCCAAGCTGGTATTTAATAATATAATTGCTCCATATCAGTCCAGCATTGGAAAATTAGGCTGTTACTATATTACCTAGTATTACATATTCTTTTTCATAAGAAATTAAAATATTTCACATGAAACAAATTTAATGGGTAAAATTTAAAAATTTAATTTTCAATGTAATTTTTAACTAATTTTAAAGTAATTCCTTTTGCTTTTGCTCTTAGGTGTGCAATGAACAAAAATCAAAATTTGGTTGTATTTTTTATTTGGGTTCACTGTGCCACAGGAGAGTTCTCTCAATTTGCCATCATTGTCCACACTGCTGGGCTAGTAATAATAGTACCCAGTTTAAAAATGATTAATGATGATTTTTTTGCTGTTAATATTTTTTAACAAAACAGGAAATTCTCTATGGTATCTATAGCATTGCTTTCTTGAAAAAATATTAATGATTATATGATAGTTATGAGTTATATGTTAATAACCAGTGTTATTTTTATTCTCTTATGTCGTCGATCTATATACTCGTATTAATGCAAAATTACCCTTGAAATAGGAAAACAGCTCACAGTTAACCCCATCATATAAGGGAAATTGATCTTCCAAAAAAGCAATATTATTTATTACTGGCCATACAATTCTTGAAAACTTATATGTATATATTCAATCATATCAGTGGCTAACATGCTTCTGCCTTTAATTTTGAATGCTTTTTCATTACACGTTCTTACCAGTAAAGAAGCAGCAAAGCATGACAGTGATGCTGCAATAATAGTTCTATCCATTGAATATGTAAGGTTCAGTTTATCAACATTGCTCAATGTCCAATGTAAGAAGATAGCAATAGATCCCGAAAGTATATCTCCTTGGCCTCCACATCTGCGACCAGATCCACCAACATTTGATTTCCACTGAGCATTACTAATGGCACAATATACTTCATCCATACTCCCTTTTTTTAAGACTATAATGTTTTTTCCCAGTTTATTTAGGCCTGATTGACCATTAACTTTGTCACACAGCCTCTCAAATTCAACTTTGTTTGGAGTTAATATTACTGGTGATTGAAAATCTTTGAGCAATTCCAAATTATGTGTGATTAAAAATAAAGCATCAGCATCCACAATGAGTGGTATGTTTTTTCTCTTAATTGTTTCAATTAATTCTGAAACTATTTCAAATGTTTTGGTTTCTCGGCCTAGGCCTGGTCCAACTACTATGGCATGTAACCTATCCAACCAAGGTGATATCTCATTCACAGCATTTGGTTGGTCTAACAGAGGATGAACTATTAATTCAGGACTGTATGACTTAATAACTGTGGCTGCAGGGGAAGTGCAGAATATATGCGCTATATCTGCTCCAACCTGCAACAAAATGAGTTTGACAAATCAGTATGACAATTTACAAGTTTCACTGGGTGACATGACTTTTCTGTCTCTAAGCAGTGCACCCCCCACATTTGTGTTCTGGTTTGAATAGTACAGTGTCATGATAAGGCATTTCATCTTAGTGCTAAGAGCTAACAATGCAGTAGCTAGTAGTTTTGTTTTTAAGTATGCACTTATTTATTGGTTCTTATCATTAGGCATACTGCAATCTCGTTCATAACTCTGATGATAATATAAAAATAATGTTAATGTTACAAATATTATTATTAAACTAGCTGTTCCCCGCGACTTCGCTCGCGTAATAGGGTTTTTATGATTTGCGCGGAACCCTAATTCTTTTTCTAAAACAAAAGTAGCATAAGTTACTCCTTATGTAATCAGCTATCTGCCAGTGAAAGTCTGGTCAAAATCGGTCCAGCCGTTTCGGAGATTAGCCGGAACAAACAGACAGACAGACAGACCGACAGACAGACAATAATTTAAAAAATTGTGTTTTTGTTATAAGTACCGTACACACTTTCATATGCATTAAGTTAAAAGCTGTTATTTTGATATTACAAACAGACACTTCAATTTTATTTATTTGTATAGATAAAATAATATCATTAAACAATAGAATATAAGAGTATTAGGTGTCTTTAAAACATTGCTTTTTAAAATGTCTTATCTACTAAAAGAGCTGACATCTTACACAAACATTGTCATGAATACTCATAAAAATATCCTCAGGGATGTTGGTGCCAAATTTATTTATTTATGACACCATCATAGTGTTGGTAAAATAAATATATCAGTGCTAGTGTATTTTGTACCTTTGTGATATTTAGAATAATTGACATTTGTTTTTTATTCTGTTTATCCACCCTAAAACAGCCACTCTAAGGTTGATACTCGAAAACGTGTGTTCATCTATACACCCCAGACAGGGTGGATAATGGGAATTCCTATATTATTTACCTTCCGGTTTTCTCCCTCGGCTGAACACAGCATTCATACACAGTCATGCATACACTGTCATTTATTCAAACATGAAAAAAAACAGGCCCAAGATACTTTGTAGACAATTGGCATACCGATAAAAAAATATAAACATACTTCTTGTTTGAACAGTCAAAGCTGAAAGAAAAGGAGTGCCTCACAGGACTACAAAGTCTTTGGCATTTTGGCATAAAACAATTTCAAATGAAGTTAAAGACCAACATTAAAATTTAATAATGTTTTTCGGAATGCTTGCAAAAATGCCCAGTTGTTAACACAATCTGTTGTAGCAAAGAAATTTAGTAAATGAATGCAAATGTACATTGAAAGAGAACGTATTTATACAGGATACATATTGCAGAATTTATAAATGACATAATAATATCATTTAAAACGAGGAGGTTTATTTTGATTTATATGCAATACATAATATGATTTTTGTTTAAGTTTGTGGTTATTAAAAATTAATAGCATACAGTCGAATTTAGGATCTCCACCTTCTTTTTGAAATCTGCTTAAAATGGTGCTGTAAATAGCGGGGGCCATTTTGTTCCAGCAAAGTTTTCAGGTTCCAGTTCCATTATAATGTTATACGAAAAATAAATTCCTTTTATTAAAGTGTATGAGTATATTTATTATTGCACTGTACTTAGGGTAAAAAGTCGGAAGAGAAATCAAAAGTACATTCCAATTATCCACCCCATCCAGGGTGGATAGATAAACACGCATTTCTGAATATCCACACTAGGGTCGATGTTTTAGGTTGGATAAATGGAATAACCCAGATGTGTTAATAAAAATTCATGTTTCTGCTTCTTTTTTAATATCATGGTTTACACCATAAAACCATTACCATTACTCTTACAGCATATCAAAAGTTCACTGTTGAACAAATAGGCTTCCTTCGTAGATTGCCTCATAGGGTGGATATTAGCCTGAGTTACCATGCTGATAAGTGCGCTGGCAACCACAGTTTTTGTTTTGTTATTAGGATGATACAGCTGCTCATCTCCTTAATAATAAAACCATAATAATTATTTATTTATAACACTGACTATATATACAGATAAACTTACAGATACCAACTTACTTTTAAAGCACTAATACCAGCGAAAAATGGAGCACCAGTATATTCCATTGAACCTCCAATAACTCCTATCCTACCAGCTTGACCTTTATGGCTATTACCATCTAAAGGAGGAATGCATGATTGCACTAATTTTATCATACTGTTGTTATCCATTTTATTAATATGAGAGTAACTACGCTTGATGGAGTAAAAAAGAAGATTTATTTTATTGAAAGATGTGGCTAAAAACATCTGATTTTTGCCTGAAATGTGTAAATAATAGTTCACTTAACGCCCATGTATACAATTATTATTTCGTAATAATTATATTTAAATGAAGCTAAAATTAATTACTGATAAATATTGACTACAAAGTGGCCAAGATGAATATCTAACCACATCCACTACGTTTACATTTAAAAATCACAGATTAATAAATTGAAAGACGCGTGCCTTGACTTTTGTTTTGCTTCAATTACAGACTAACTAGACTTTAATGAATTATACTATTATATGTAATTTATATTAGATTATAATTATAGTAGATTAGACATAGAGCATAGACAACATGATAACATGGTGATTGGTGATCACAAACTAACTAGAAACTAGAGATGCGTCGTTTTTTCGCAACCTATTACAGCAACAGGTTGCATCGAAAATAAAAATGTAACCTGTTACGACAAATCGCGCATTATCTTTTTCCAGTAATGTCCAAGAACAAAACGTTATTGCAAAATAGGTTGCACCAATAGCTAAATGCGTTAATGCTGCTACCAACACGTAGTCAATTTAGTTTCTTTTTAATAACATTATTTTTCGGCGTCGATTAGTGACAAAATTTTTGAAAATTGATTATTTCAAATGTCAAAAAATTAAAATGTTGGTACATCATACTGTAAAGAATTGTTTATTTAAGTTTTATTGCCCACCAATAAATTATATTTTTCATTGCTTTAGGTTCTAGTATTTAAACAACGTGTTTAAGATTACGTGGTTATTAAAAACCTGTTGCAGAAAAAACCTATTGTCGCAACAGGTTTTTTAAAAGAAATGTAACTGGTTGCATCATTGCGTGAAAGCGACGGTAACGCCCATCTCTACTAGAAACTAGGCTTGGGCAAAAATGTTGATATATGTCAATAAAAATATCGATATATATCGTCGATATATCGATATTTATTTTAGAGTACTGAATTCGTATCAATTTCGTTATATTTTAAAATGTTGTATTAATGACAAAACATGTAACATTAAAAGAAGGTTCATTTGTTGTTTTTTTTTCGTCCTCCAACCGTCAGTAATATAAAATTTTGGACCTCACATTATGAAAATGATGACGATATATCGATATTTATCACGCGATATATAACGATATTTTTTTCCCCTTGCCCATCCCTACTAGAAACACTCACGCATCAGACGGACGTCTTTGGTAGGTATATTTAGTACATTTAGTTTTGACCGTACACGTACAGCAAATTAGAACGTGACATTTATTTTTTCTTAAATATAAATTGGATATAGGCAAAGGAATAATTTTATTTCAACCTACTTACATTTATCGCTGCTACAATAGTGACTTTAATTTAACACACGGGTAAGACTAGTGCCCATTAATCATATTAATTTTAATAGGTTAAAATAACTCATAAATTGAAAAAAAAAATTTTTTTCGAACAAATTTAATAATAAAAAAGTAACTAAAATTGGGTACACCCTTGCAAAAATTCATTCATGAAATTACTTACCTAGCTGTCTTACGTGAACTTGAAGCTGCAACGCGTCGCTTCGCGCGTCTTGTACCTACTCGTAATCGGTCCGATTCTTTGACGGCTTAAATACGGGTCTATATAATAATACGGGTCCGATGATGTTGTCACCGTGAATAGCTGCCCAAAAGTTTACCGAAAATCTGTACTGGTGGGCTCACTCCCACCAAACGCACGGATTTTGGTTTTTGGATGCCCAATGGTGCAGATTGTGCTGGGTCTGGTTTCTGGTGAACGTGATTTCATCAGTTCAACAAATTTGGGAAAGAAAGTCACTGTCCTCTTCAATTTTACTCAGTAACCACTGACGATAATTCACTCTTATTAATTTATCACGCGATAGCAGAGTATGTACTTTTCTAAACTTGAATGGGTGCTTCTTTTCGCGTGGACGGTTCTGTGATGAACTTGAAAATGCTTAGCGCTCTGGCGGAGGCTAGTTTTGGGTTGGTCTTCGAAATATTGTATCACATTTTCAGTTAACTGGATTGGATTTTGTCGTGTAGGCGGTCCTAGGATCCACTGGCCGGTTTTCGTGGATGCGTGAAGAGCTCCTACAATAGTGCAAGGATGAGTAGGGAATTGTCTTGAATGGCCATATCTCTCACGATATGTCCTTATCGTAAGGGCGCCATTTTGACGACATTCTCCGTAAATTAGGATCATGTCCGCATATTCAGCTGCTGTGTAGTTCGGATGTGTATTTGCCATTACGATCACAAGTTTAGAAAATATACTAAAACGCTTAAAAAGAAACTTCGAAAGAAATTAATTAAATAAATATGCTAAAGACCCAAAAATGAAATGGAAAATATTTGATAAAATAACTAATAGAAATATTCAGAAAGTATTTTAGGTAGTATTTCAAAAAAAAAATTCATATATTCCAGGAAACTTGCCGAGTTATGGGTACTTATAAAACAAAAACAACTTCTTACCACCCACAATCTGATGGAATGGTAGAACGATTTAATCAGACATTGGAGAGGTACCTAGCAAAGGTTGTGGAAAAACGGCAACGAGACTGGGACAGGCACATACAACCGTTTTTGTTGTCATATCGAAGCGCTGTTCACGAAAGTACATCAGTGACACCAGCTTTCGCAAACTTTGAGAGAGAATTACGCCTGCCTGCAGACCTGAACACCGGAATATCACCTGATGCCCCACGTAGTATAACCGATTATGCAAAAAATGACTTGCGGAACAAAATGAATGACATTTATGAGCACGTCAGACAGTCGGGCCAGCAAACGTCTGAGAAGATAAAAACACAGTATGACCGCAAAATCAACAACATAAGGTTTGACGAAGGTTCACTAGTGTGGTTACACAATCCAGTTCGCAGCAAAGGCAAATCTCCTAAGCTTCAAGCTAAATGGGACGGACTGTACCGGATTGTGACAAGGATCAATGACTTAACCTACCGGATACAGAAAGGTGCCAGAGGTACTCCTAAGATCGTCCATGTGGATCGACTGGCGCGTTATTATGGGGCCAATAATGCTCGGGACGAGCATGTCTTAGGAGGGGGCGGTGTTGCGCGCCACTATTAATGTCTTGTACATGGCAACACTAGTTACCACTAGCGCCCTCTAGTATCGAGTAGAAGAACTAGGAGAGTCAAGATCCTTCTAGAAATTTCGGGACCGATATGTACTCGAACATTCTAGATGTTTCTACAGTAGAAGGTTCTGGAAACTATCTGAGGCCCTATATAAGGCCGGTTTAGACCACGACCGAGTCAGTATTGAATTGGCGATACAAGCGAATACTTCGAAGCGAAATAACTGCAAATTAAAGTGTTCAGTAGTAAAATTGTGTTTTATTATTAGTGTGGTTTTAAATTGTAATTAGTGTTCTGTAATTAAAGTGTTAATTTTGGTAATTCAAGCGGCAGTTTTTGATTGTCTCGAACCCCAAGCTCGTAACAATATTTAAAACTTCATTACGAATGAACCAGAACATGCAGTTCATTCCCTATTCCTCCACCATTGGGGGTGGATTTTTTCTCCAAATTTTTTGTACCCATTTGTTAAAATCGGTTTACAATTCACAAAGATATCGCGTTACATGAAAACATTAAGTTCGACTGTATGTTTGTGAGAACCGCCTCCTTTTTTAAAGTCTACTAAAATTAACGCAAACACTGAGATAACAGTCAGTGAAACCGAAATGAAGATATCATTAATAAAACAATAGTGTCGAGCGCTTACGTTACGCTTCTTTCTTGAACGGACGATACTAATAAAAAATTATTTGATTTTTAGATCAACAATACCTTACGTCACAAATACCTTACGTCGTTTAAATTTTCAGTAAATTTCATAAAACGTTGCAGGACTCTCTTACCAGAAATAAGTGATATTATTAAAAAAAATTTGCAGTTATCATAAGATTTTTTTACTAATTTTATTAATAATTTATAATTGTCAGGTTAGAAACATTGAATATAAAGATCCTGTTGAAGAAGAGTGGGAAAGGTTTCAGAAGGAAATAAAAGAAGAAACTACAACATCTGCCGAAATTATAGCTGGGGAACAAGAAGAAGCAACAACAGAACGGCAGATCGACGAAATAGATGAACAAATCCGAAACTGGTCAAGGTATAATTAGGTTCTTCAGTTACACAATCAGTTTTCACTTTCTTGTTTTCATATCTTTGTCAGTCTATATTCGTACCACTCCTGGCACGGGCCTCCTCTCATTTCTGAGAAGGTTTAAGTTAGATAACATTCTTCGCGCAGCCATAACGTGTTTTGATAGATCCCTGAAGTACCTCTTTTTTAAAATTCATATAACTAAAAACTCTAAAATCTTTCCACAACCACTCCTTTTACAAGTATCATCATTATTGTTTTTCAGAGTTTTAGACTTAGAGTTAAAAAAAGAAGAAACAAAGAAAAAAAAACAAGATGCAGAAGTTATGAATGAAGACGAAGACACTGATTCGGAAAGTAACGTGGACATTGATGAATTTTTAGATTGGCGAGCAAAAAAATCATATAGTTAATAATAAATAATTTATATTCAAGAAGTAATTAAAATATTATTGTTTCCTTCTTTATTCTTACTTTAATTTGCATTTTTATAGAAAAATATTAAATATACTTATAATAAAGTTCTCTAGACCGAATTTCGGTCCCGACGACCAATCTCAATTCTAGGAGACTAGCCTAGCACGGGATATGATTACATTGACCGAGTGTGTGCGCAAGCAATATTATAGTCCGATGGGACGGCAATTTGACACGACTGGAGAGAGATGAGGACGCAATGGGTGAGACACCGCAAACTTCCTAAACTCCTAGACATACTTTTAGACGTTTCACATCAATCATTTCGCAATAACATAAATTTTTATTAAATTTTTGCATAAATTATATGAATCATGAATTAAACAACTATATTTTTTTTAATAATTTCGTTGAATCCCACTGCGGTGAAGTTGCGAATAAGTTTAGAAGATGGGGGCTCGTACAATGGTAATGGTAATTTAACACGTGGTAGAGCCATGCGGCAGCTATTTTAATTGTATAGTTGTAGCACGAATGGGTCGGCTCGACCGGGGAAGGACCACGCTCTCACAGAATACTAGCGTAAAATAGCGGCTTAATGCTGCTGTTTCGTATGGTGAGTTTAGAGA